AATAAATCCTACTAGTAAGTCATTAAAGCTGGGAATAATCTTGGGCAGCCCTGACACAAGGTATGAAATTCATCTTTTTAAAGTGTACAGTTTCATGAATTTTGACAAATGTACCTATTTGTGTAGCCACCATCACAAGCAAGTTATAGAACATTTCCATCACTACAAGTTTCCTTATGCGTCCTTGCAGTCAGTTCTGTGTTCATCCTCAGCCCCTGGCAACCACTCATCTATTCTCTATAAGGTCCTACTGTATAGCATAGGGAAATGTGTTCAATATCCTGTGAAAAACCATAATGGAAAAGAATCTGAAAAAGAATATATATGTATATTCAAGTCACTTTGCTGTACAGAAGAAATGAACACATTGTAAATCAACTATACTTCCATAATACTGAAAACAAAAAGAATGCCCGTGAATGACTAAGGAAAAGATAATAATAGAACAATTGGCTAAAGAGTTATTAAACGGGTGCTTCACAAAAGTAGAAACATAGATGTTATTTGAAATAAACATGTGAAAAAAAGTGTGCAGTCTCATTAATAATTAGGGAATGCAAGTTAGAATCACAACTGCATACCATGAGGAAGCCTATAAGAATGACTAAAATTGAAAACGTATGACAATATCAAGAGTTGGGAAGAATGTGGAGTAAAGCAGTCCGCCTCCACTGTTGGTGGGAGTTTTTAGCTGATAATAAGCACTTTCGACACTATCTTGTAAAGACTGGCTAAATTCCATCCCAGCAGTTTCGCCCCAAGGTGTACACTTGGGACACGAGTCTCTGGAGGCTAACCCCTCTGAGGGACACATTCCTCCTGGGCTGTGATGAACCTTTCCCAGAGTACTGTGGAGTCTGACTGGCCATCTGAGCCCTTCTGATAACTTTGCATATCCTGGCTTCCACGTGCATGGCGGAAGCTCACTGTAACATGCTCAGGAGTCAGTATTATTCTGAGTTCCCTTCAGTGGAGCCCCACACTTTCCCCAAGCTACTCCGGTACCTGTGATGAGTTCCTGGGCCGAGGGAGGGGCCGCTGCCATAGTTCTCGGCAGTGGCGGTGCTCACACACCTCAGGAAAGCCCCTTCATTCTGAGTTCCCTTCAGTGGAGCCCCAAACTTTCCCCAAGCTACTCCGGTACCTGTGCTGAGTTCCTGGGCCGAGGGAGGGGCTGCTGCCATAGTTCTCGGCAGTGGCGGTGCTCACACACCTCATCCCTCTGCAGGGACTCACCCTTTCCCTGGGCCTGGAGGTGGGTGTGCACAGCCCCTCCTGCGTCTCAGAATCCCTCCATGGACTATACCTCGTGTGACCTCATGTTGTGGGGAGTAAGCTCCACCAGGCAGGGCTTTGGTCCATTTTGGTCATTGCTCTATCCCATGCCCAGAAAGTCCTGTGAAAAGACAGGGATGATACAGGTGAAGACGCTGAGGCTCGGAGAGGTCACCTGACTCCTACATGGAGAGGCCTTCCAGCCCTGAGTCCCGGGTTTCCTGCTGCTTTTGGGGTACAGGATAACTTTTTTATGTCTAGAAATCATATGAGGGACTTCCCTGGTCATCCAGTGGGTAAGACTCTGCCTTCCGATGCAGGGGATGCAGGTTCGATCCCTGGTCAGGGAACTAAGATTCCACAGGCCATGGGGCAACTAAGCCCACGTGCTACAGCTACGGAGTGTGCCCTACAGCCTGTGCTCCGCAGCAAGAGAAGCCGCCGCAAGAAGCCTGCGCACTGCAACTAGCGAGTAGCCCCTGCTTGCCACAACTAGAGAAAAGCCTGTGCGGCAGTGAGGACCCGACAAAGCCAAAAATAAATACATAAACAAATTAAAGAGAAAAGGAGGCCTGTGAGTGGACAGACACACACAGAGGGAAGGCAGAGACAGAAACTGCAGTGATGTAACTACAGGTCAAAGAACACCAGGGTTGGCTGGCAGCCCGTAGAAGCTAGGAAAAGACAAGGAAGGATACTTCCCCAGAGTTGTCAGAGGGAGCAGAGGCTGCTGACCCCTGGATTTCAGACTTCCAGCCTTCAGAACTGTGGGAGAATAAGTTTCTACTGTTTGAAGCTGTTCATTTGTGGTCATGTGTTATGGCAGCCCCAGAACACTAACAAGGGTGTGTCATGTGCGTGAAGGATATGCCTTGTATCCACAGGTGGTTCACCACTGCACAGAGGCTTCTCCCAAGTGAAACGACCCATCAGTGCCAAAAGGCTTCCCAATGATTTTCCTTCCATGCTGCCTCAGTTACCCACATTTTCAGTCTGTCCTTTCTTTAGGGAGGAGGACAAAGGACAAGCTGTGGTGTGGGGTGGAAAAAACACAAAGATAGTCTCTGAGAATCATCCTCTTGAAAAAAAAAAGCACCAAGGGGGAAAATGAAGCAGGACTCAGCTCGAGGCAATCACTGGCGGGCAGGGGTGGGTGAGGGAGGGAAGGGAACGGCAGAGATGGAGGCCCTCAGAGAGAGACAGGATGCTGGCCGGCCCCATGGAGCAGAATCACAGAATCACATGGAGCAGAAGCACAGGCAGAAGGCAGGAAAGAGGACTGGCATAGATACACACCAATATATCCTATTCCAGCACATCAGCCCCTCCGTGGGGTCAAAGACCCTGGCAGCACTAGGTAAGTCCATTCGTTAGGCCTGTGCTGTCTCCTGTTCCCTTCCCATCTGGGTTCCCCCATCTCCTGCATGTGCTATGGAGGTAGAAGACAGCCAAGGGCTTAGATCTCCATTTCATAATATTCTTGCGGGAAAAACAAACACAAAATTAACAAACACTTGTGTCTGGATGGGATTTAGAACTTACAAAGTGCTTTCACATACAATCCATCTTGACTGGGCCTCCTTGTGAAAAGAGGTGCTTATCCATGAAAGACAGGTCTGTCCCCTAAATCAGAGATTACAGAAGTCCTAAGCAGAACCACGCCAACGCCCCCAAAGTGGACAGGGGTCAGGTTAGGAAACCATAATACACACACAGACCAACACCCCGGTACGCAGCCTTGTCCAATAGCGAGGAGCAGACTGAGCTCACAGGCACCACAGGAATGCCAGCTGGGCAAGAGTCCTGAGATGAAAACAGGGGATTTACGTTGTCAGTAAATAGGAGACTAGGCGAATTGGACCAACTCTTCCACTAAAGACAATCAAAAGGCTGTACGAACATCTTAAAAGCATCAAAGAGCTAATGAGATTCTAAAGAATTGCTAGGCTGACATCCCAGAGAGGACAGGAATCTAGACAGGGGAGCCCAGCATTCAGGGCCACTTTTCCCTGGAGGTGCTTGCCCATTTAGGAGAGGTGACTAAGAGAATGAATTCTGTTTTTGAAAGTCTTCAAGGATTGGGGGTGGGGGAGGTGTTGGACACTGATAAACCACTGCCTGCTTTGGGCTAAGACTCCAGACTGTGCCCTAAGGGGTCAGGATGAACCAAAGTAAACCAGCCTTGCACAATCTGCTAAGTCTGCGGTCTGCCTTCAGTGGCCAGGAAATGTCAACCTGGAATCTGCAATAACATGATCTCAGAATTCCATCGCCCCTGGGCATGTGACAGCAGCAAATGAAAAGCCCCTCAACCCATCCTAGATCTGGAAACTGCAATAAACAATTTTTCAGATAGTGTCCAGCACAAACTAAAAAATAATGAGGCACCAGAAAGACAAATCAGGGAACAGCAGCAATTAGGGAAAAGAAACACTCACAGGGATTCCAGTTATGGAATTATCACAAATGGAACACAGGCAAAGTTCTAGAAAACTCTCCTCGCTGGTAGTCAGTAAAGTTCTGACTATTTGAACTGTTAAGTCTCTAATCCATTCTCACTTATTGCCTGGATTGCTACAGTCGTCACTCTATCTGCCTTTACCATCACCTACCTTGGCAGTTAGCTTCCTTGTGGCTCAGTGGTAAATAACCTGTCTGCCAAAACAGGAGACGTGGGTTCAATCCCTGGGTCAGGAAGATCTCCTGGAAAAGAAAATGGCAACCCGCTCCAGTATTCTTGCCTGGAAAAGCCTGCGGGCAGAGAAGGCTGACAGGCTACAGTGCATAGGGTTGCAGAGTCGGACACGACTGTGACTCAACCACCACCACCTTGGCAATCTGTCCTAAATGCCCTTTCCAAACCCATCTCCTAAGATGTCTCCCCTCACAATCTTCTAGTCACACAGCAGAACTCTCTTGTGAGTGTCCTTTTCTTCTCCATCAACCTGAAAAATGCCTCCTACCCTTCAACGTCCAGTGTAAACCTCTCTCCCTGAAGCCTTTCTGAATTCATAAATCCAACTCTCACAGCTTTGTATAACCTATACTCTGTTGACACAATGTATTTAAAATGTTTAAAAGACTATTTCTCACATACACTGTTAACTTTTTGAGGTTACAGTCATCTTACTCATCTAGAGCTCCTGCAATCTAGCATAACATCTGGCTGAGAATGTGCAGAATAAATGTTTTAAGAAAGAAGGAAAGAGTATTTTGAATAATAGGTGCTATGGATTGTTACAGACTGAACTGTGTCCTCCCCAAATATCATACGTTGAAGCCCCTAACGTGACTGTGTTTGGAGATAAAGTAATTAAGGCTAAATGAGGTCATCAGAGCAGGGCCTTATTTCAATAGGACTGGTGTCCTTATAAAAAGATGAAGGGACACCAGAGAACTCTCTCCCTCCATATGAACACATAGAAAAGGCCATTGTGGACACAGCAAGAAGGTGGCTGTTTGCAAGCCAGAAAGAGAAGCCTCACCAGAAATCAACTCTGTTGTCAATGTGATCTTGGACTTCTAGCCTCCAGAAAGTTCAGAAAATAAATGTCTATTGGTTAAGCCTCTCAGGCTGTAGTATTGTTATGGCAGCTCAAGCAGACTAATACATAGACCATTTCTCAGATATGAAACGTGTATGACACACATCCTCAATTAAGGTAAGAATTCAACTCAAAGTGACAAGAAAGAGTAGGAAGTAGACACAGGTACACCAGGAAAAATGGCTTTTTAAAAAGTTTTATTTCAAGAACTTTGTTGTGTGTTTTTTTTTTTTTACCGGTATTTCAAAAAAAGGTGGGTCAAAGTACAAAAAAAAAAAAGTCGGTTGAATAACAGCATAGGTTTAGAAATCACAGCAGCAGAAGCAATGTACAGACAGCACAGACAGAACACTGCAGCGTACTGTAATTCTCTTCAGGCTCTTTGCTTATGGTATGTTTATTCCCTCCTGTACAAAATACACCAAGGCATGCCATGAGACCAGAAAAAGAAAGGGGTTCAACAAGTGGTTACAAGAAACAGAATCTGTACAAGAGGAGATAATGCTTCCTCCCCGCCCCCCGCCCCCCACTTCCTCCCTTGCTCGGCTTCAGGTTAAGTTGTTCTGAAGACAGTTCACCTCCAGGTCGGCCTGGTCACCCTTGCCACCCTCGAGTTTGGGCGACATGGAGTTCTGGATGTTAAATGGCTCCTCCTCTTTCAGGCAGGACTTGAGAGCTTCCTGAATTTTGTGGGGAGCACTAGAATCATCCTGGAAGAGAAAAATAAAAGCTGAGGCCAGATTGGGAAGGAGACAAATGGGTGGAGGAATCAAGTAACATCTCAGAGTTTTCTAAAAAAGAAAATAAAACAGAAAAGGAAGAAAGCGTTGAGGCTTGGATGAACCAAAGTGACTCATTAGCAGCTACTTTTTCGGAACATCATCCTCAAAACCCCCCTGGCCATGTTCGGATGAAAACCCAACAGGTAACTGCATTACAAATACCTTTAACAGAAGCCAGACTGGGGAGAAACAGTCCCTTTTAATAGCCTGGTCCCTCTAAAGCCTCACCTGCTGGTGAGCTCTGCCCGGCCCCTCTTCACACGGCCCTCCATCCTGAGGAGTTCTGCTCTCGCAAAAAGGTCTTGATCAGGAACATGACTTGGTGTGCCAACGGCTGTGGTCAGGTGCAGAGCTGATTCCGGCAGAGTCAGGGCCCCTCTCCCCACAGCAAATTCACGTTCTCTGACTAGAGGCCAGAGATGTGGGAGCCTATCAGAATTTCTCTACCACACAGACGCCGACTTACAAGGCGCCCCCTCAGTCTAAGCCCTGTGCTGCTGGTCAGGAACCCTTCTCTGACGGGGCCCCGCACCCTCCTGCCTCTCCGTGTTGCCTGCAGCCGAAGGACAAGCTCCTGAACCTGGCTGAACTTGTGAACGGTTCCCAGGAGACCCTCATCAGTACACAGTCCTCTCTGCGTCCAGAGAACCCTCACAGCGACACCTGTCGTCCCGCTGCTCTTCCTTGAGGATTCCGAGAGCAGACTTTACCCAGGGGGCCTCGGTTCCTTCTCAGGAGCCCCAAATAGCTATTAAGTGCTCGGAATTCTTGCAGATCAAAGAGGCTGTACAGCCACCCAGGCAGGTTCATGGAGGGCAAGAAGGGGAAGGTGCCTATCTGACTGGCCAGCTCAGCCCTTTCTTGCTTTAATCACTTCTGAAATTCAAGATACGCATGGTGATTAAGGACCAGGACATTCTCTACAGAACAGAGAGCCGGAGTCCCATGCTGCCTGCTCCTGAGTATGACCTCTAATGGCGCTAGGTCAGGGAAAGTAGAGAAAGGTGCTAGGCTTACAGTAGCTACAGGTGTTCAATGTACTGTGTGTGTAGAAATCACTATGACCTGCCCCCCACTCCAGCCTCACTGAGCACTGTCCCAGAAGACTGGCGTGCACAGAGCAATCTGAGTTAGTTTCGAAGGCTTCAGGAATGATTTACAGACAACAGCGGAACACACGCTCCCCAATTCCAGCGTGTACGAGACAAGCACAAGGCCAAAATGAACTTCATTCTGTGTTGAGGCAGATTTCAGGCAAGGCCGCTGCACACAGCTCCTACAGGGAGTGGGTATTTTCTACCCTTGCTTGGACAGGCTGAGAAAAAACTGTTCAGTGGCATAACTGTATATGTGCTGAGATGGAAAGATCGCCCTGATATATTAAGTGTATTAAGTACACACACACGCACAGGTTTTTTTATGGAGAGGGAAGCAGGATGAGGTAGAACTTGTGTGAGGTGTGGGGGAGACACTGGACATAAACACCTGAGACCCTGAGTAGAAGGGACTGGGTATCACAGCAAAATGTGGAGCAAGACAGGATGGCCTACACTCATCCTCTGACAAGAATGGAACTCACTTTCACATTTTTCAAGATAACCACCCCTACCCTGGCCCCATCACACTCTCCTTGGGGGCATACAGGGGCACAGGGATATTCTCATAACGTGAAAAAGTGAATTCAGTGAGTTGTACAGACCTGGGCATCAAAACTGTGACGCCATGAAGGTGGGGAACCTAATTAAACCCGGCCTCTTGAGGACTTGGACAGAGGAGAAAGCTGTCTTCCGGGCCAATGGGTGGGAGAAGTCAACCCTATAAATCAGGAACACAGGTATCCGACAATGCTATGAGACAAGCTAAGTAACTTCAAGCAGGTCGAACAGGCGAGGGCGTGTCTAGACCAGGATGTAGCGATTCTCGTCCACGAGTTTGCTCCAGAACTCCATCCTCTTAAGCCTAGGGTGGCTGAGTCCCTCAGCTGAAGGCCCCTCGGCCTTTGATTTTGTGGAAGTCCCTCATCGCGAGGAAACTGGACCTCCCCCTGGCCTAAGTCCTGGGAACTATTTCCAGCTTTCTGTCCCAGCCATGTGGGCATCCTTCCACCAGGGGTTCAGGCCTGGATGTCCTCTTGTTCAGACACAAGCCTCCATCAGAAGGGGGCGGGCAGCCAGTGTTTTACCAAACACACGGAGGAAACAGAGGCTGGAAGTAGGAAGGATTTAAGTCGGCAGGGTGGGGTGGGATGGGAAACAGTAAGGGGCCTCCTGGAAGGCCCATCCAGTTTCAGGAGGACCAAGTCCCCGCCACGACCCCGCTCTGACAGCACGGCGGGGAGACGGGCAGGGCGGCTTCTGGCGCTCAGGCAGTTCGCCCGTGTTGTTAAGGTGACTTCGCTGATGCCATGCAGCGGGAGGTGCCCAGCCTTCTACACACTTGCCATTCCTCCCAGAAAAGGGCAAACCTTCGTAGCTGGGGCTGAAAAGCTGCGGGCTTTTCCTTCTCCTTCTGAAGTTTCTTTCCGAGGCTGGCTGCTCAGTGACACAAGACCCACACACACTCAGCTGCTGGCTCCCCAGCCACAGGGTCCCACATCACTGCAGAGGGCCCAGTCCAGGAGCAGCACAGAGTGATGCGCATAGCAGGGGAGAGGGGCGTGCCCCAACACAGACACCAGCCGTGGGGCCCTTCCCCGACCAGACCCAAAGCAGTACTTAGTTCTTTGAAATCTTTTCAGACAGTGGTTTTTAGAGATTACTGGAACGGAGTAGGAAAAGGACCCATTCCATCTCCTTGACTTATGTAAAAGAAATAACCCCTCTACTAAGATAAAGAAAACTCTACAAAATTTTAGGAGATGCCAAAATCAACAAGGTTTTTCTTTTTTTTTAGGGGTGAAGGGAGAGGGATGGGGAGACTAGCTGCCCCTGTTTCGACTCCCAGCTCATCTGGAGGTTCACTTTCATCCTGCTGCCAGCAGCGCTTGTCAGCAGTCACTGCGGTGGCTGAAGCAACGGCCAGGGTTCCACTTCATCATAAGGTGGTAACTGTCTTCACTGTCAATGCACAAGATCTTGACTATGACCAAGTCTGACTTCTGGGTGAGGCGGAAGGAATGAGAGGTGAAGTGGAAAACCCAGCTGCTGGACAGGAGAGCCACCCCCCATGGGCTCAGGGTTTTGGCAGAGGTGACAGGATGTACCCTGGGGCACAAGTTGAGGGAACGGTGTCCATGGAAACAGCCCCCAGGATCCCAGAGGAGTCAGAGAGCTGAGTGCTGCCCTGAGTACCACCCAGACAACCCCAGGGCCCTTCTTGGGCAGAGACCACTATGGCTGACCACCCTGCTCCACTCTGCTTTTGTTCTGCCATATGCTGAACTGAAGGTCAGTGGCAGTTTTTCCTGGATAAATGCCTTGCTTTCCCAAAGTTGGGTCCATAAGAACTGGAAACCTGGAGAAGGAAATGGCAACCCACTCCAGTATTCTTGCCTGGAAAACTCCATGGACAGAGGAGCCTGGCAGGCTGCAGTCCACGGGGTTACATGACTGAGCATGTGTGCACGAGGGTAGAGGGAGATGGGTTGGTAGCAATGAAGTGGTAGAATTGGGGAAAAAAAAAAAAAGGAACTGGAAAACTTTGTGTTGGCTCCTGCAACCAAGGCCTCCAAGAGACGCTATTTCCTTCCCCTCCATCTTTGTGAGGAGGAAAGGTGGACACACCAAGGCTGCCAGAAATGCATGAGTCAGCAGCTTTGCTAAGGACCCTTGCACTCTGTGGATAATAAACACCCTGACTGCAGGCACTCCTGTACAGGTCAGGCCTGCTGTCCCTCATGTATGAGATGGCACATCAGACAGTGGGTCTGAGACCCCATGGCAAGCCACTGATCACCAGTAATTCAAAACTGACAACTACATGCACATCACTGCCAGAGGATAGGTACGTTGGGATGGGGTATTCCAAGACAAGGCACATCCTACATCCTTGTGGGTTGATTGGAGTGGTCACCAATCTCAGACCTGACAGGACATCTTGTTGCCTTGACAGTTATGCTCATCTTAAACTTATTAGTGTCTTGGTACATGCCATGTAAAATATATCTGTTCTTTCTCTATCCTTTATAGCAAAGTCTTTAAAAAATTAGCTTAAATTGGCCTTTTTTATTTCTTATTTGAATTGACTCCTTTTCTCCTCCTTCTGCAGGTCAACTTGTTCTTTTCTGGAGTTTGGTGAACAAAGCCTCACATACTATTTCTCCTTTGCCTTTTGGGGATGCACTTTCCCCAGTTATAAAAAAAAAGGAAATGGTCTATCGGGACCTCTTATTGGGTTTCAACTTAAATTTATAAACCCATCCTCGTAAGGACAGATTTATCCTTACACTTATGGTTCTGCCAGTGTTCTGTGCTTCCCTTTATATAAAAAACTTTAAAAAACTATCCTAGATTGGCCTCTTTCAGTGTATATAACCAGTGTATATAAGCCTGCTCATTTTTAGGGCTCTCAAAACAGTGTCAAAGAGACTGTTTTTCCGGCAATCCCAGAGGTTTTCCCATTCACCCCAAAGAACAAGCACCATCTGCTTCAAAGACTAGTGAGAAAGTCCCCAGCAAGAAAAGCAGAGGCTTTCTTCTAAATGTAGAAAAGAAGACAAAAATCAGACTTCTAAAGCCGAGATGAAGCTAAAAATCCTGCGCCATCCCAGAAACGGCTCTCCTGTACTTTGTGCTACTTTGCCTGTCCAGGAGGTGACACGCCATCACGCTCTTCTCACTTTCGTGGCCCGGAGAGGCCACCCCATCCAGACCCTCAGAGCTCTGAGGAGTGGCTCCATATGGTGAAGTGAGCCAGAGACGCGGGCAGGGGCAGGGGCAGGAGCAGGCACAATGACAGATGCAAAGAAGACAAGTCACCTGACAGAGAGCGTTATCCTAGCGAGCCATGGCACAGGCAGTGAGGGGGAGGGGGACGCGGAGGGTCGCAATGTTTCCTTACGTTTGGGTGAGAGCCCTCGGCAATGGTGGACAGGGAGAAGTTATCGTTGTGGAGCTCTGAAGGGGTCCGGAATTTGCTGGTTAGGACAGAAGAGAGAAGGGAAAATGTAAGTGAAACAATCTGACAGAAGCTTCATGGGGCAAGCGCTGTGTCATGCATGGGTGTGCCCCTATTTGCTGTACCACTAAGAAAAACTTTCTGCCATTTAAACCATGATCCAATCCTTTCTTATCCCCTAGAGTTTTCATTACACACTTTAAGGCGCTCATTTAGACTTTAGATAAAGAGCTGACAATGATATGAACAGCTATGACCACGTTTGCGCCTGCCAGACAATTACAACTACATCATGACTGCCATCTGGCCAACAGTGATTATAAGATGCCAGCAACTGTAAGACACAATCCAATTTCAGAGATGCTAATATGTGGGGGGAAATGGGTATCTTAGAATCAGTACGCTACAGCAGTATCTGTAGTGCACTGGGTACATGTATTAATAGCATTTTCAGAGTGGTAATCAGGCTTGGGAAAGAAAGGAGGTGTGCAGAGGAAATAAGGAAGGTGGCATTGGAGCTGAAGGGCTGGGGGAGCCATGCTCTGTGCCAAACACAAACTGGGTTCAGGAGGAAGACCTAGAAGGGGGCCCTTCCCTGGGCTCCTGCTTCTCTACTGCCCTGGCAGCCCTCCTTCTGTCCCCAGTCATCAGCAGCAGCCCTGGTAGGTGGTCCCATTCCCACCCTGACCCTCCCCCCACCACTTCAGTGGCAGTGTGAGGAGCCAAGGGCCTTGGCTTGTGATCACATGCACAGATACAGCCCTGCCTCAATGCACAGGCACAATGGAGAGGCCCTCGCAGCCCCAGGACGGTTAGCTGAAAGGCAGCAGAGAGCCGCTGGCATCTGCACGTCCCACGAGTTTACCCAGCAAAGGAGCAACAGATGGCGTTTTGTCCCTTTCCCAGGACCCAGGGCAAGTCCTTCAGTCCCATTCTCTGGAGGGAGTCTCAGGTCAGGGGGAGGGAATTAACTGGGGGGAAACAACAGGGGGAAAAGGGGGTGGGGGCAGTGCTGCATAAATTGCCTCCTGGGTCCTGAGGAAGCTGAACTCCAGTCTCCTCCTTTTCTGACTCCTGTGACATTTGAGAAGGTTCTTTACTTTGCTAAGTGATAACAGTGACTGTCTCACGGTGGGTAAGGTCACATCCTAGTGTTCAAGGTGTGGGCTTCAAGGGTAAACGCATGTTGATTCTCAGAGGTGCAGAGCTGTGACTCCTCTGCTCAGAGAAGAGCTGAAGTGAGACGCCACATGCCCACATGGCCCTTCAAATCCACAGTGGAGGAAGTGAGGCCGAGGTCCTAGCACTCCTCACATTCTACTGAGAGGGAACGGGGACTTCCTTGAGCCCTCTGTTCTTCTGCCTGGACCAGGGCGGATCAGTTTGAAAAGCAATGAGCTGCTAAATCCTTTCACTGAAGAGGATGGCACATCTGAGGGAGCTGGAGGAGTCACTTCATGCTGATTTGGGAATGAAATCCTCACACCGGCCTCTGGCTGTCAAAGACCTGGGAAGCAGGTGCAATCAGATGGGGGTGGGGGGCTGAGTGCAGTAACTTACTTGACCACAGTGGGAAGCTGCTATACTCTGTTGCCTTTTCTAAGCATCCTAAGAAAAGACAGCGCGCGCGCGTGTGTGTGTGTGTGGAATGGTGCTGGACAGCTGCAGTCTGCCACAGGGGCCTAAGCTCTGCTGCAATTCCAGCACATTCTGTGTAAGAACAGGCAAGCTTGGGTGAATCTCAGGTATGAAAAATGGAAGCAGGGATGGACAGCAGATGCCAGAAACCCTCACGACCACACCCCTGGGTTCCACAGGGCGGGGCTGGCAGTCAGACTCACTTGGTCCTGCGAAGCTTGCTGTTCTCTGTCTTGAGCAGGTAGAGCTTCTTGGCGAAGAACACCGTCATCATGAAGAGCAGGAGCAGCACGAGGGCGGCCGAGCCGACAGCCACACACATCACCTGGAAGTCGGTGATGATGGACTCGCAGCGCATCCCCTTGTGCCAGATGTAGTCCTGTGTGTTGCACCTGTAGCAGTGACAGGGGGAGGCTGAGGCGACGGTGGCCGCAGCGAGCGTCTGACCCTTGACCCCGGGGCTTACTTCAACACCCTGCTCCTGTGAGCAGTTAGAGGAAGTGTGGTGTCCTCATCTGTGCAGACTTTAGGGTTGCTATTCTTGCCTCATCTTTACAACCACACTGTGAAGAATGTGTGGCACAATGCATCAAGGGTGGTTGACACAAATGAGGTAAACGGGGTGCTGAGAATCTGAGCACACTGGTCATTCACAGGCCTGTGAAGTGACTGAAGGAAGGGAACCCCGTTTTCCACTTCAGTGACAACAATCACAAGATTCCCTCAGAACCCTCCAAGCCCCTGCCCGGGCTCTGGTGGGGGGGGGGGGGGGCGAAAAGATGAAAAACAAGATGAATAGGAGCTACCACCACAAAGTAGTAGGACCCGCCCTATCTTGGGGCACTGCAGTCCCATCTAGTTCACGTGGCTAACCAGACACTGAAAATAAGGAAGCGACAGACAAGGACAAGCACAAAGACAGATGTACATTCTCCCCCATCTCAGCAGCCCCCCAAGTGCCGCCCCTACAGCTTCCTGTCCTGTCACCATGAGAACTGTCATGAAAGCAGAGTGAGAAGCAACCCTCTGGGTGGGTTTCAGTCCTTTTGTTGAGTGACTTTCTCCTGCCCTTGGGGACATTCCCAGGCTCCAACTCTTCCAATGACATCGCTGTTTCCATGGGAACCAGGCTGCTTCAAAGAGGAAATAATGTGGAAGGATACAGAGGCAGGCAAAGGAGGGAGGACATGAACCTCAGGGTGACTGACTGACAGGAGAAAGGAGTCCAGAAATGGGGAAATCAAACACGGGAGAATTAGCCACTCCACACCTAGAAGAGGGTGGGGCTCTGTGGCAAGCAGTGAATTCCCTTATCCAGCTGCCCCTCTGCAGTCCTGGGAGGCTGTTGGAGGACAGCAGGGAAGGAAGGTCCCTCTAACAGAGTGCTCTGGAGAAGTTCTGCCATAGCTCTGCTCATTTCCCTGCAGTGGTTGGGTGACACAGACAAAAGCATGCTGCAGTCTGCAACCAAGGGCTCAGCAGCCTCCTGTGAGTGGAATGTAAAACAGTTTCCAAGCCGGGGCTGGGCCTGGGTGTACCCGTCAGAAGAGGAATTTCTGGTAGGAAGGCCCAGGGTGGGTGACCCTGGGATGGAAGCTGTGCAAGGGGTGCTGGAGTGGACTAGTGAGAAGTCCTCCTAAGGCAGGATCCACTGGAGGACCCACGGTCAGAATAAGCATGCCACTCAGGTCATGCTTAATACTGGGGGTCCCTTGATAGCTCCAGGAGGTTCTGGGAACTGTTCTAAGTGCTCCAGAGGTAAGAGGGCTCCAAATTTCATACTCTGATGGGGAGCTAACTTCGAAGGTGAAAACCCAGGCCTCCAATAGGATGAAAGATACTAATTTTGCACAGAGATTCCATAGCTCCCAGGTTAAAATCATTACTATAGTCCTCCCTCCACAACTAGAGTCTGAGGAGCAAAATCAGGGTTTCCTTGTATTTCTGGTAGCCCTTAAGCAACCAGCAAGGTCTTGTTGCCAAAATTTCTTGATCACAGGTCTTCTTTTTGCCAATGGCTGGACAGCTCCAATCAGAGCTGTGTGGACACATCCTATATTAGTGACCTAATGACATGATCATTTATAGGAAAGAACTTCATAGGAAGGAAGCTCAAGCTTTAATGACAAAGGCACAGCATGCGTGCATTATATTCTTCTTCTATCAGAACATGAAGACCTATAGAATCTGAATTCTTTATATACGTCCAAAAAGACCCAGAAAAAGAAACATAGGGAATGGCACTTAAAAAATAGAGATACCCAGATTACAGAAATGTTTCACTCTTAGGACCGGTGTAAACAAGTCACAGAAGGATCTGAGGTCTCCGTGCCACTTCTAGGGCCTGTAAAGGATGGAGAGAAGCAAAGCACTCAGGCCTGGACACGTGCTTCATCTGGAATGAGGACAAGCCCATGAGCTCTCCAGCAGGTTAACGACCTTGCCGTGAGGGCAGGTGTATCGGGTTAATTACTAATGAGGCATGGGCTGGTGGCTGCACACAATATCCTTACTCTGACACTAAACTCTCTGGGTCTTTAAAACATGTCAGACTGAGTATCTCCAGGAAGATAACAACCAAGGTAAAGGAGCAAAGTATCCAGAACTAAGAAACGCCAAACGTCTGCTGTGTGAGGACGGACACTCTGCTTGACTTGACCTGTTCGAATGGCTGCTCTCTGGGTCTTTTTCCAATGAGAAGGTCCTCATTCGTGCCACCTGAAGCACGTGCCCCACAGGGTCACAGGGCCTTTCTGCCTCGCACATGGCTCAGAGGGAGTGGTCAGCAGTTCTCTCTTCTCCCAAGGTGTCTATGGACCTTCTTCTTCTGCAAGTTTAGCTAGAACTTGCCAACAAGAACTTGCCCTCGAGTCAGCAAAGGCCTTTTCCAAAATCCTTGGTTAAGTCCTTTTGTTTCGCCTTTATAGTTTACTGGTTTGGTAAAGGCCACGACACTTAGAGGAAATGCACAGTCTCACTTCTGAGGAAACTCTCCTAGTGATAAGCTCACAGAAAGTACATTTAAGCTGTGAGTCTGTAGAATATTTATTGGGACCATCTCTTGACCCGTAAACACACAATCTCTGGGAACCTGCCACATCCCCCTCTCTGCTGAGGCAGCCTCCCATGCCTCCTTCAGACGGAGTTCTCTGACAAACCCCCTGGCATCTGCCTGCCACGTCCTTACCTGCAGAAAGCCCCAATGTTCTCCACCAGGTAGCACTGGCCGCCATTGTGACAGTAACTTGGGAAGAGGTCGCACACCGACCGGCAGGAGCCGTTATGTCTCACAAAGCCACTGCGGCACACGGTGCCATTCTCGCTTGGGGCCAGGTCTCCTGGGCGGGGCCTGAGGGCGATGCTGCTGCCAGGGACCATCCCCAGAGTATGCTGCGGAGGGACAGCGTGCCACCGATTGGTGGGCTGGCCTGTCCCGGGCCCCAGACCAGGCTTCTCAGTGGGCACTAGAAGGTCATTTTCATCTTCCAGGTCTCCGCCTCCCACTGCATCCTTGTCCTCCTCGTCTTCCTCCTCTTCATCCAAGTCATCATAGAAGGATGTGGTAGGGTAGAAATCAGACTCATCAAAGGGGGTGAAGTCATCGTACAAGTCAAGCAGGCTCCAGGAAGGGGTCTCTCCCCCGGGATCAGGGTGGTGCTCTGAGGTACCTGGCGACCCAGGGAAGCTCCCCAGGTCGGCGCCACGGCCCTCACCATCCAATCCTTCGAAGTAGTCGATGTCAATTATATCTGACTCTGGGTGGGGCTCTAGTGTGCCCTGAAAGGGGTAAGTGGGCTCTGGCCCGTGAGGGTCAGGTGTGCTTCCTCCCAGGTTCAGCCAAACCTCCATGGGGCTCTCCTTGGGGAGTTCAGGGCCTGGGCTCGGCTTGTCGCCAGGGGTGGGGGAGGGTGGTTCGCTGGCCTCCGTAGCCTCGAGGGTGGCTGGAGATGTCGAGGACGGCCCGAGGGCCTCGTCGGGTGTTGGGCGCGTGGCTGGAAGGGCCTGGGTGTCGCCGCTGCCCGCCTCTGCGGTCACTCCGCCCAGGCCTGGGCTGTCGGCCTCCAGCCAGGCTGTGCCTGTCACCGCCGCCGACGCCTCCAGCGCCTCCTCAGCCCCGACCCCAGGACCCACCAAGGCCTGCTCGCCGCCGGGCGCAGTCCGAGAAGTCTCATCTTTCCCAGGGGCTGGTGGGCCGGCCTTCTCCCGCGTGTCGTTAGCACGCGGTTCCCACGCCGGGACGTTCTTCACGGGCGTGTCTGCCTCGACGGCGCTGCCCGCCTCACGCACTGTGGGCGGGAGGGAGAGGGGCGGGGCGTCACGGACCGCGCGCGCGTTAGAGCTGGGGCAGCGCCCCGCCCCTGCCGCGGCTGCTCTTTCAGACCCTCGCCAACCTTAAGCCTCAGCGTCAAGCTTTCCCAAGGCCACGCCCAATCCTTAAGCCCCGCCCCGAGCCCGCCCCACAAGCCCGAGAACACACCCGACCAAACATTATCCTCGCTTAGGCCCCGCCCCAAGGGAAAGGCCCCGCCCCCGACATCACCCGCGCTCTAACTCGAGCGGCCCTCATTTCTGGCTCCTGGCAAAAAGTCTCACCTTCCGGGCTCTATTCCACCACCAGGCCCCGCCCCAAAGTCGCACCCTTAGGGCCCCGCCCCGAACTCGCGTTCTCATGCCCCGCCATCACCTCCAGGTCCCGCCCCGAAATCTCACCCTCAGGCCCCGCCCCAACAGGCCCACCCCCAGCCAACACCTCGGTCCCCACACTCGGGTGGCGGCCGCCGAGTCGCCTGCACCAAGTCCCCCCATCTCCTCGTGCGCCCCTTCCCCCGCTCGGGCTGCAGGCAAGACTCTGCCCCGCCCCCTTGGCACAGCTCGCGAACACCTCTTGTACCCGAAGCCAACGGGACCCTGGTCCAAGGTTGGGCGCGAGAGCCGCTGGGGTCCCGGTCGCGGTCTGTACCTACCCGGCGCGGCCCCGGAGGCGAGGACCAGCGTAACCCCCAGAAGCAGCAGCAGCGGCGGTGGCCCCCGGCCCTGGCCCCCGCCCTCGGCTCGGCCCATGGCGCGGCGCCCCGACCGCTGTCCGCGGTCTGCCCGGCTGGCTGCGCCCTCGGCTCACCGGCCGCCGCGCCTCCCGCCCGTGCTGCGGCCGTCTCAGCCCACGATGGGCAAAGGGAGAAGCCGCATGCCGCCGCCGTCCGCCGCTGTCCCCGGCGCGCCGCGCCTCCCCGCCTTCCGCGCCGCCGCTGCCGCGCTCAGCGCCGCCCCTACCCCGCCCGCCGCGCCCGCCCCGCCGCACGTAGCTCTGACGCCGGCCCTGCTCAGTCCTCCTGCGGTGGGGACAGACAGACCCCCGGCTCTGCACGCGGAGACAAACGGACACGGGGTAGCGCGCGGGCAGGCGCACAGCGCCGCGCTTGGCATTAGCCTCCAGGTGCACTGGCGGGAGACCTGCGGGGCGGGGCCGTAGTCCCGCCTTCCCAGTGGAGGGGCTGGCACGGGTCCCCCAACCGCGAGGAACCCACCCGCCACGCGGCGAGCACGGAGGGGGGCGCCCAGACACCCGCAGGCTCGGGGCGGGGCTCGGAAAGGCCGCAGGGGGCGGCAGCCCCAGCCCGCACTGTGCCAGTGAGCCGAACCCAGGGCACACGGAGCTTCTCGGATTTCTGCACCAACCCAGTGTTCAGGGCGAAGGGTCTCCGAGAGGTCCCCGAGACCCCACGAGGGCGGGGCGGGCGCTGACAGTGCCAGGCAAGGGGGCGAAGTGGACCTCCCAGGCCCTAATCGGATCAGACCTAATCCGTCTGCAGCCAAAGCCCCAGACCTCGCACAGCCAGGCCCGCCGGAACGCATCCCGGGGGCAGGGGCGAGAATTTCCTTCCTCAAGGCAGCCTAGGGTGTGGCCTGTAATCCCAGTTCCGTGGTCCCTCTCCAAAACACATCGCCCCCCATTCTTCCCGGGCCGCCAAAGCTCAGGTTGGTGGGTAGTCACGGCGCTTGGTCGCTCAGTCGCGTCCGACTCTTTGCGACCCCATGGACTGTAGCCCGCCAGGCTCCTCTCCAAGGGGATTCTCTGGGCAGGAATACTGGAGTGGGTTTGCCATGTCCTCCTCTAGGGGATCTTCCCAACCCAGGGATCGATCCCGCATTGCAGGGGGACTCTTTACCAGCTGAGCCACCAGGGAAGCCCAAGAAGACTGGAGTGGGTAGCCTATCCCTTCTCCAGGGGATTTTCCAAACTCGGAAATCGAACCAGGGTCCCCTGCATCACAGGCAGATTCTTTACCAGCTGAGCTACCTATCCCTAGGAGACTAAGGGACAACAGTCTATGCCAGCTCAGGTGTTACAGTCTATGGGTCCTGTCCTAAGCTCACTCTGCGGTACAGAACCACTCATCTCTAGATCTCTGCTTGGTGGTGGGAATTGCAGCCTAGTGACCTACTTTGTCCACCAAACCGACTGTCTGCCTTTTGATCTATTAACCCTAATGGTGATATTCAAGGTCACTGCCAGAGATGTGGAAACTCTGGTATTTGAGACACTCCCATTCCTGTCACTTGGGACCCACAAAACTGACCAAGAACTGTCACTAGTACATGTCTCTGGATGGGGTTGCCTTGATTCAAAGCCTGTTTCTTTCAATGGAACTAGATCTACCTGCTCGTCCTGGTTGGTCCTTCCTCTCCCCATCTACCTGGCAAATCCTTTAACCCAGAAAGCTCAGTTCCCATAACCTTCCCATCCAGGAAGCCTTCTGTCTGACCCGAGTAGTTAAGACACTTGCCCTGATCTCATTGTCTGTCTACAATAATTCCCTACTAGACTGCAAGACACTTGCGCGGGCAGTGACAGGTGCAGCTGCTTAAGGTGGGTAGGAGGCATAAGTGAACTAATGGCAACCATCTTAGTCCCACCACAGAACTGTGGGTCTACAAGGGGCTGATGTGCTAAAGCTCTTTCCATGGCTTCATATTGCCTCTGGGGACAGTGTATACCAGTTTGAAATACAACTTTCTCTGAGCAGAGGGCCAGGCAGAGGTTTGCACTTGCCTGTAGCCAGAGAGGTACTGATGGACCTGCCAACAGCACCTCTTCTTTCCTGTAGCTTTTCTTTGCATCTTTTTTTTTTTTTGGTCTTACAAGGTCTTGTGTGTTGCTTTCTGTGTGTCTCCTTGAGTCTTGAGTAGGCTTGTCAAGGTGGAGGACCTTGGTAGACATGCCCACCTCCTCCTTCCTGAGGCCAGTCTTAGTGGGAAGGAGGCCTCACAGATGGGTCCTTTGGTGCCTAGAGCGTGACAATCACTCCTGTGTTTTTCACAAGAAAGGTCTGGGTGGGGGCTCTTTTCACACCCCTGTTAAAGCACTACCTACTCCAGTTAACACTTAAATCCTTTTAAATTTTTGACTTATATAAAACAAGCATATGGTATAAAATAAAATATGAAATCATCTCCTTCCTCAGTGACCTCCCTCCCTTCCCTGGAGACAAGGTTCTATTACTACTTTCTTCATTTGGGGATTTTAAATCAACTATTTTCATCCAGTTTCATCCTGATCCTCCCCAGATCTCGCCAGCAATTGCAGAACGAAGCACAGCACACCGGCTAGGTGACAGCTCCACAGGCCAGAAGCACATCAAGGCAGTGACCTTGGGAGAGTCAGTATCCTGTCTCATGTATGTGAAAGCAGTAACTGTAGCGTGTCAAATGAATGTGGTTATTTTTTTCCAGGCACAGTGCAAGGGTAGGCTAAAAAAGAGAAGCGAGAATATGTAGAAATTGGAGATTGAAAGAAAGGTAAATGGACTACTATCTAGAGCTTACACTCCATGTCCCCGCATTAAAGTCTCCTGGATTTGGGCATCAGGGATGTTTGAGGGTATGGCTTCTGCATGCCTTTTAAGTTCCCACTGGGTTTGGTAGAACCAAGGCAGGCACGAGGCCCACTGCCACGGACACAGCCTGCTGCTTTGTGCATAGAAGGCCCCCGGCAGCCAGGGGGCTGCTCTCCAGGGCAGAGCTGCGCCTGTTGCTGTGGCTAGGGCATATTTCAGTCTCAACAGGAAGCAGCACAGTTCCTGGCTTTAAGTCCTCAGTAGTAACCATTAACACTTTCCTGAGGTTTAATTTTCCAAGTGCTCTGATTTGTCTTACTCTTCGTAACCATGCTATTGTTCTACTGGTCACTTTACATGCTTGCAAATGGACACTGAGATCATGCTAATGAACTGCTAAGGCCAAGATTTGTACCAACATTTTGATTTCAAATCTTTCCATTTTATTATGGAGGCTTTTCATTCTTGCTTCTTAATTTTGGAAGAGTAATCAGGATGCAGAGGTATGGGACCCAGCCTCTCCCCCTGCCCCCCTGGGTGTTTAAGAGTTGATGCTATGGGGGTCCAGTGGTTAACACTCTGTGCTTCCAATGCAGGGGTCGCAGATTCAACCCCTGGTCAGGGAAATAAGATCCCACAAGCTGCACTGCATGGCCAAAACGTAAAGGAAACAATCAAACAAAAAGCTGATTTTTTTTTTTTTTTTTTAGAAGAGTCGATGGTATGTTCTCTTAACAGGGTATAACACCGCCGTCCAGACTCATGCCCTGAATCAGCCAGAAAGGGACATCGAGCATGGCCTTTCTCCTACTCTCTCCAGCATGTGGAGTAGACACACCTGGTTCTGGGCTACAAGGTAGTCAGCTCTGTGACATTTTTGGTGATGAGCTGCTGGGAATGATCCTTCTTGCACCACTACCAGGAAGATGCAAAGAGCCAAGAGGCAGAGGTCTGAGTTCTTTGTGCTGACCACTACCTCCTCACTACCGGAAGCTCTGCATTCTCAATTTGCACAAGTGCTCTCATCTTAGAAAAAGACATTACAACTTGGAGGTGGTCATCTTGTTTGGGAAGTGGGGCTGCCATCAAATTGGAAAGGCCCCTGAACTTCATTACCTCAAAGCCAAATCAGCTGGGAGAAAGGCACACTGCATATGCCAGCACAGCCTCTGACATGGAGCAGCCGGGCTTGTCTGAGAAGTCCTGCTGCCTCAGCAGACAACCTAAGTGCTGCTAGAGAACCCCACAGCTCCTGCAGGGCAACTGGAAAAGGAATGCCAGTCAACTTGGATGGCCACGGGAGACCCACCACTGTCAACAAACCAAAGAAATCAGGAGCCCTGCCCACTGCCTAAGCCCTTGGGGACCACCTGACAGTGGTGTCACTGTCTGTATTAGGCATGGTGATTCTGCTCAGACCCACAAAGGCTGTACCCTAAGAGTACGTGGTAGTATAAGGTGGCTGCCAGCAATCAGGCACCTGACTGATCCACATGGGTATGTAAGGGCCTGGATAAGGCATCTGGAGGCAGAAAGGAGTAAAGATGGCTCCAGTTCTGCAGGGCGAGTCAGGAGCAAGATGGGGGGCCATGCAAGTTTCTCTGCTGCTGGTGTCCCCTGAGAGCTGGAGTAGGGAAGGGTGACCCAAGAGAGAGGTAGCTGTAATTAATTCAGTAAACTTTGTTTTGGCTGATTCTTCGCCAAAGTCACCCTCTGGGAATTGAAGGTCGTCTCTGTTTACCAAACCTTGAAGGACAAAAATCATGAACATTTAATTCACAGACTATGTACATTATCCCCCAGGATACAACTGATTATACTGTTCCTTTTTGCTTTGTGGACACCTGGCACTATAGAAACTCTTTATGGTCTGGTATTCCCCCAGACCATATACAGTATTCCCCATTTTTTCCTACAAAAACATAAGTGGCCTGGAGTGCAGGGGTCTTGCCTTACCTTATTCATAATTATGACTGTATGCAGGTTCTAGTGCCTGCCACACAATAGGCTCTCAAATGTTTATGAGGCTAATGGACTCACAGTGACTGTCAGAAATTGCAGAGAGCCTGCTCTATCACAACTTTCTTAACCAGCAATCCTCACAGGGTGGTCCCAAGACCCATCAGGGTTCCCTGGGAATGTTAAAAAGGGCAGAATTTCAGAACAGACCCCAGACAGACCTGCTGAATCAGCAGCTTTGAGGATGGGGCCCAGAAACTTGTATGTTAACAAAGTTGTAGATGTTCCTGATCTGCACCGAAGTTGGAAAACTGCTTTTCTCAATTGCACTGGGGGGAGTTTCCACAGAAAGGACTTGAGGAACCTGTGGAAACTTGGTTGGCTATACAAGTCTTGGTGTGTTCTAAAAGGAATCCACTCAGGTTGACAGACTAGTCTTCCATCTGAATCAAGGATTAATGTCCCTCATCACCCCCCGAGAGGAGTGGACGAGTCCTGTGAGACCCAGCTAGTTCCAGCACTCTTCACTGGAGGGAAGGGTCGAACAGGTCAGAAAGCACAGCAGAGTCAGCTAACATACTTTCATGAAGGACCAAGTGTCCTCTTCCTGGGAGACAAAGAATCCGCTTCTTTGCTTCGCTGGGTGCACAAGCATCTTGAAAGCATTGTTTCTGTTTTTTTGTGCAGGGTCTGCATGTGTGGGTGTTCAAGGGCTGGCCATGAGAATGTGCCAGAGTTCACAGAGTCATCAGCCCCCAGTGCCTGCCTCTGAGTCGGGGATGTCTAAACTGTGACCTGACCAACATTCTCTTGTGCACCAAGCAGAACCACTTCTCTGCTGGAGGTGCCAGGATGCTGGCCACCGTTCCTGAAGAACATCCACTCATCTCTTTTCAGTTTGACCACGGAAATCAACAGTGCGCCAGGCACATTCAACCGTACGTTCCTTAAGCCTCATTTAGGTGAGAAGGTGGTCAGTCAGTCAGGAAACTCGAGCCACTGAACTTTAACTGATGACCAAGACGAGGTGAGGCTGAATATTCAGATTCCTCCTAGGACACATGAAGAAACTGGTATACGAACGCAGAGAATGGGACTAGAATCCAGAAATGATGTTCCATTTATTCATTGAAAAAGAGGGAGATTAGGCCTTCTTGATCAATTTCTTCCAGTCTCCCCAAACTCCCTCCCTTCACTTTTCCAAAATAACACACTGAGAAACATTTTTGTACAAAAACCACGTTATTATTCCCCCCCCTCACAAAATCGGGTGGCTGTATTACAGGAACGAAACCAGATCAAAGACATAAAAAGAAAAAGTCACCACTTATACTGAAACACAACAGTGTTAAGAATTCAGGTATTCTGTAGAATTATTACCAGCATAGTTAAAATATTTCCACCTGGATCTTTTAAATTTGAAAGTGATCACATTAAAGGTAACCTGAGGTTGCAAGAGACCACATTTTTAATTGAAGGATAATTGCTTTACAATATTTTGTTGGTTTCTGCCAAAAAACATGATAATTTAAAAATTGTGAAATCATTGTAGACTCTCATGCAGTTCTAAGAAATGATACAGAGAGATCCCTGGACCCATCACCCAGCTCCCCTCCCTGGGCTCACATGGTACAAAATTATAATGCAATGTCACAGCCACCAAACTGACATCCACACCATCAAGTACGGAAGAGTTCCTAGTGTTAAGAATTCAGGTATTCTGTAGAATTATTACCAGCATAGTTAAAATATTTCCACCTGGATCTTTTAAATTTGAAAGTGATCACATTAAAGACCTGAGGTTGCAAGAGACCACAGTATGAACCAGAATTCCATTTTCCTTTAAAGACCTCAGTGGAAAAGGTATTTGGAATGAGTTTCCTTTGGGAAAGACTGGCGGGAAAATACAGAAAACCCTGGCCATTGTCGAAAGGCACTGGGGTCTTTCTGGAGTCAAAAGCAATGGGATTAAACTCCAGTAGGAACAAGCTCATTTCCACTCCAACAGTCTGGAATAAACTCACGAAAGGAACAAGGTCTCCTTGGTTCCAGTACTCTGATGGTGACCAGGGCCACCTGGTTAGAGGTAACACCTGAGGGTTTGAAAGGCAAATCTCAATTGTGGTTTGAATTTTTTTTTTTTTTGCTTTCTGATATTAAGGAAAAAGGTTCTAAGGTGTTTTATAAACAACTTCCCACACCCTCACACATGTAAAGCTTTATAGAATATATAGAAAAGATACTGAAAAGATGTTCCACTTTGCATTCTAAAGGAAACTGCCACTTGAGAATGTGAAGAGGCCAGGTGCTTTGGAAACCAAGCTTGACCCAAAACACCGTTTCCCCACCCATGGAAGGACAGAGGAGAGGGAAGAAAGACAAGAGAAAACCAAGAACTCTCAAGTCACTCATCAGCAGGGGTAGAAATGGGCTCATATTAAGGCATTTTTGTGGCTCTTCCTCTGGAATGGCACTCCACCCTCCCAGCCCGAGCACCCCACCCTCAAACCATGATGCTTTGATTGCCAAGTGAGCTCCCTGGTACCCAGAGCATCTCCTTGACAACCATGTAATAGATGGAATGTGAGATCTCAGACCGGGAAGGGAGAAGGTATGACAGGCTGTTGGTCTTGCCCCACTTCTCCAATTCCACCCCAAACCTAAAGTACCGCTTCACTAAATCCCACTCACCCTGACTACTGCAAGAGGTAGTTTGGGGACCTGTACCCCCAGCCAACCTAACCAAGTCCATGAGCTAAACTCAGCGCTATCTACTTTTTTTTTTTTAAGTTTTTTCCTTCTTGTATAGAGAGAGAAAAAAGAATGCACACAAAGCAGTGGACAGTGGGCTAGATTCATTGGATGACCATTGTCCAAGACCCCCAAAACTTTCCTGGTTAGTCTAAGGAACTCAGGAATGCCTCCCAAATCGCAGCCCTCAAAGCTTACACTGCTTACACTTTTGAGAAAAACAAAAATGCCTACCTACCCTAGCAATCAAACAAACCATCTGCATAGAAAACCAGAACCAGTGGGCCTGGGCAAGAAGTGGATTTCTTCTAAAGCTTGTGCTCTCCCCTACCAGGGATGAAAGGGGGTGTTCTGCCAGGCAGGCTGGAGGCTCTCACAGTCTTCACTAAGGATAACATCAGGGGGGTCCCTTTTCCCCATCTCTTTTAATTTTGGTGCATCCATGTGTGGCAAAAGTCTCATGAAACTTCACCATCAGCACCACTCTTAGCTCAGATAAGCAGAAATAAGGTCACTTACAATGCCTTAAGGTTTGTCCCCTCTGGCTATCCCCTCTGCCCATCACTATTTTTTGGTTCCTATTAACTTAGGATGCTCTCCTTTAAAGCAATAATGACCAAAAGGAAAAAAAAAAAAAAGAAAGAAGAGTGATAATTATAAAGCATTATCCATATAAGCATAAGACAAAGCAAAAATAGAACAAAACTGCAGGAGAGCAAAAAATGATAAAGACATAGACCACTAGCGTTGACAGGACCTGCAGATACACTGTCAGCATACCCCACAGCAGGTCAGGGAGATGCCAGGTATTTTAGGGTGACCACAGGGGTCCCCCTTGAGTGTTGGAGGAGGACCTAACACAGCAGGTGTCAGAGTACAGAAGGGGGTGGCAAGAGGAATGGGGAAAATTCAGGGTGTGTGCTTGGGGCTGTGAGAAGAAAAATCCTGAAAGAAACCCAAGGAAGCGGAGAACACAAGTCTTGTCATCCCCACTCCAGCTGGGGGCGCTGGGCGCGGACGTTCCCTGTGTCTTCCAGGCTACGGTGCAGCGGAGGCTGGTGGGCCAGGAGCAGGAGGTGGAGGGCCTCCATCCGCAGGTGCTGGAGGTGGTGGCTGCTGCTGTGGCGGAGGGGGATCTGCAAACACATCCAAAAGGAACTGTCACTCCTGGGCAAGGGCCCATGCAGACAAACAGGACTTACAAAGGAAGTTTCTTTATGGCCTGTGAGGCACAGCTGCCGCTGCGGGCTACACGAGGCGGTCCACCTGAACCTCCACGTCACCGCTCGTGTGGCTCCCCGGACCCGTGCGGCTCAGGGGTGGGGAGGTGCCTGAGTCCACCCCACTGTCCTTCAAGGCCTGCTCCTTCCAAGAATCCCTCCAGACCTTTGCAGAACTTAAAACTGCCGATCAGAAACTACTGGCTCTAATGAACTGTCTCCACCAGGGTCACAGAGATTGACTTGAGGCAGCTGCTGACAAGCTGGACAGTCTGGGGAGGCCCCGAAACTCCTGAACTGTAGTCTTTGGATTTTTGGCCAAAACTAGGTCAGGTCCTGAAGGGAACAATTAGGAAAGGAGCTCTTTCCTATTTCTACTTCGGCTGCTTTAGTGTACAAAGTAACCATAGAGATAATTCAATCCAGGGTTTTAAAAACTTCTAGATTTTGCCAGGGATGAAAACGAATGAAAAAAACAATTAAATCACCTCCTTGCTTAACAGCTAATTTACCCAACCTTCCCCTCAGGAGGTTTCCACCCAATTGCTAAGGCTCTTCAAAGCATTTTGAAGTCTACCGATTTACTCCCTGGCGTCATCTTTCAGGGGAGCAAAGCAAGGCCTGAAGAGGGAAGCAACTCGACTGATGAGGCCTGCCCAATGCCCTGAAGCCAAATCAGCAGCTCAGGATCCCTGAAATTCATCTGGGACAGGAAGTGATGGGGAGCACCCCGAACCTTCCACACCCTCAAGGCACGGCACTGAGGGCCCTTCAGGATGGAATCGTATACACAAATCAGGTGTTAGCAGGACGGGACAGTGGTAAAGACCAATGACATTATGTCTGCAACATGGATGGAAGAGTGGTCAACCCTCCCAGTCAGCCAGCAGATTTTTCCACTGCCTGTGGGGCAGCAAGGCTAAGAAAATAGGTACGCACTAGACTGATCTCTGATCCTTGACTCAACAAAAGATCGCTTTTTAAAAAAAAAATATTTTTATTTATTTGGCTGTACCGGGTGTTAGTTGCAGCACACAGGATAATTAGTTGCAGCATGTGGGATCTAGTTCCCGGACCAGGGATTAAACCCGGACCCCCTGCATTGGGAGTGTAATATTAGCCACTGGGCCACCAAGGAAGTCCCTCGTTTCTCAACTGTGATCCTGTACTGACCTGGCTCAACTGCTGTCTTTCTTCTGTGCACCTAACTCTGTCCTCATCCCTGGGGGTCCAATGAGAAAAGAGATGCACCTGTGTTGATGGCACTTGTCTCCTGGCTGTAGGAAGTTTCCCACAGAACTAAAGTGAGCTCAAGTCACTTCATAGCCTTGTATAACTTATGGTAAATCCCACACTACTATCCATTTGTTCATGTTTTATTTTCCCAACTAAAGCTCCCGGAGGTCAGGAATTCCTCTGCATCCTCTCTGTATTGTATTATAAATACATTATTGTCACTTTATGTTTTTGTATTATAAACACATTATTATAAGCTGTACTATTATAAACAAACAGAGGCTGACTCCACACCTCATGAGGATCCCAGGTCCTCCTCTAAAAGGACCTGGGATCACAGATGTGGTGGGGTACATGGCCACTATCAGCTGGCATTTTGGAATCATTACCCTGGTCTACAGGAGTAAGAGGGCAGGCCAGGCTCTGATGCACCCCTTTGGAGGTCAGCGTTGGAGCAGAACAAGGGCTCCATGGTGAAACTGAGCTGGCTTTGCACACATTGCCACAGACACTGTTCGGCAGCATATGTGCCTGCTCCATGGAGCCTGCTAAGACTTCAAACTCCTTCTCAACACAGCCCTGAATACTCCTTTCTAAGTCTAAGTAGCCACTACCAATGTATTGGAGAAAAACTTCTTATTATCCCTGCCCTGAACCATACCCTATTCTTTTCTTTACACCTACCTCTTTGAAATCCTGAATTCACAAAAGGCTCCTGTAGAGAAAATAACTACCAGTAGTTCTGTTTATCTACTCAGATTCAAATTAGATAGGCTCAAACAGGCATGGGTGAGGCGTGCCCTTGGCCTCACCACAGCCCTTGGTGTCACGAATAAATCCAGGAAGGCTGTGGCACAAGAGCCCGACTAACTGCGCTCACCACCCTGGGCGCCTGCCCACCGGGGATGCGGAAGGACTGCTGTCCAGGATCTGCCACGGCCCAGAGGGAACAGACGGCGCCTGCCTCCCTGTGTGCAGCTCTCCCCAAAAGTCCCGAGGGCAGTGCCCCCCCACCCCCGGGTACTTACACATGCCGTTAGGTGCCGTGAGGGGTACCCGGGGTCCTAAGATGTTTCCTGGGATTGGAGGCATACCAGGAGGGGTGGGGCCACTCCCAGGGGGGTGGATGCTGGCTGCAACGGTGGGCATCATGCGGCCTGGCATGGGCTGCCCGGGCATCATGGAACCTGGGCCTGGTATCTGACCTGTGGAAGAAGATTCAGAATACTAAGGTAAGGAAGACAGGAATCAACTCACTGCCCGAGACTGCTAAATACAGACAAATATCTAACCCTCCAAAAGGATTTGAAAGATCAACAGAACAATAACCTGGAATAATCTGTCTAGCTTTTAATTCAGGGTGGGGTCGGGGGCATGGAGAGATGATAGGGCAGGTGTGTGGAGTCGATGACTACCCTAAACCCTGGTATAGGCAGGGAGCTGTAAGACGTTATTACCAAAAAAATCCTAAAAGAAAGCATTCACTCTGGTGAGTTTGGGTGAACAATAGATTGTCAGATATCTTCCTGAGGACACAAAATACCAAGCACGGACCACAGAGAATGGAGAGAAGGACTTGCCAGCAAGTCAGTGCACAGTCCAAGGACTGAAGCTCAGTCCAGACTGAGCTTCATGCACAGGCTATCTGGGAAGGTATGCCTGAAAGGGGATTGGTCACTACCATGAAATTACCATTAAAAAGGTATTCTAATTGGAAGTCTCAAGTCCTTTTCACACACACACACACACACACACACACAAAATCTCTCTCCCTCTGCCCCCAACCATGCAGCACTGGCCACACACACACACACACACACACACACACAATCTCTCACACACACAATCTCTCTCCCTCTGCCCCCAACCATGCAGCACTGGCCACACACACACACACACACACACACACACACACACACACACACACAATCTCTCTCCCTCTGCCCCCAACCATGCAGCACTGGCCCCGGAGAACCATGGTGGGGGAGACACACGAGAGACAGACAACTCCTTCATCTCTTCCTACTGCTTTGATATGAAAGATGGGGGACACTGGACCCAAGAACAGTGAAGCCCCTCCTGCGTTCAGTCTCACACTGAGCCTTTAGAACTTTCAGCACACTCTTGCTGTAAAGAACCAAGTAGTAAATATTTGGACTTCACAGACCATATGGCCACTGTCACAACTTTTCAACTTGGCTATTGTAGTACGAAGACAGAGAATATGTAACAAATAAGTTTTGCTGTTGTTTAGTCACTGTCCAACTTATTTGTGACCCATGGACTGCAGCCCACCAGGCTCCTCTGTCCATGGGACTCTACAGGAAAGAATACTGGAGTGGGTTGCCACTTCCTTCTCCAAGGGATCTTCCCAAACTCACGTCTCCTGCATTGGCAGGTGGATTTTTTTTTTTTAACCACTGAGCCATCAGGGAAGCCATAACAAATAGGTGACATGTATTTATAATACATCCTTATGGACTCTGAAATGTCAATTTCACATAATTTTCATATGACATAAACATCTTCTCCAACCAGTTAAACTGTAAAAACCATTCTTACATTATGGACCCTACAAACACAGGAGATAGACCAGATTTGGTTGTAATTAGCCAATCCTGCCTTTCAATTTCAATTTCAAAAAGAAAAGCCAGGACTGGCTAAACTACAAACAAACAAAATTAAAAGACACTTGCTCCTTGGAAAGAAAGCTATGACAAAGAGAGACAGTATATTAAAAAGCAGAGGTATCACTGTCAACAAAGGTCTGTATAGAAAGAGCTATGATTTTTCCAGCAGTCATGAATGGATGCAAGAGTTGGACCAAAAGAAGGTTGAGCGTCAAAAGAATTGATGCTTTCCAACTGTGGTCCTGGAGGAGACTCTTGAGAGCTCCTTGGAGTGCAAAAAGATCAAGCCAGTCAAAATCCTAAAGGAAATCAACCCTGAAGGTTCATTCGAAGGACTGATGCTGAAGCTCCAATACTTTGGCTGCCTGATAGGAAGAGCCAACTCATCAGCAAAGACCCTGATGATGGGAAAGATTGAAGGCAAAAAAAGGAGGGGGCAGCAAAGGATGAGATGGCAGCATGTGGGATCTAGTAACCTGACCAGGGATTCAATCTGGGCCCCCTGCACTAGGAGCATGGAGTCTTAATCACTGATCCACCAGGAAAATCCCAAGATTATTTTTTAAAAAACAAAATACATCAGCCTTATGCCTCAGAATAAACAGGAGAGCAAGTCTGGGGCCCCGGGGTCCCCCTGCTCTGTAATGCAATCCTGCGGAAGTGCAGAAGAGCCCCTGAGGCCTTCTCCACCTGCTGGAGAACGAGTTGATCAAATCCCCTCAGGGAAAGCAACAGCAGCTGCTGGGCTGGCATGACCGCCACCCTCACACCACTGAGCATCAGTCACTAACGCTGCTGGGGGCCTGGGCCACAGATTTAGGCAGTGCTGAAGTCTATCTATGGAGGGGATGACACAGAGGTGAAAAGACACAAAGGCCAAGTACCCTATGAGCCATACAAAGGATGAGGACACATGAAGGGTTGGCAGGCAAACCAAGGGAAAACTACGGAAGAAGCAAGTGAACAAACTTGATACCCTGTGGCTAGTTAAGACCAATCTGTGGACAACTTAGGAATTTGGATGATGTGTATACAAAGTGAAGGAGGAGAATTAGGAACAGGGTAACAGCAGACTAACCTAAGCACAAGGCCTAGCCTGAGTTACGAAGTCAGAAGATAATATGAATGTTGTTTCATTTATATGCAGCCTCTTCATACTCGCTATCCCCTCTGAGATAACTACATCACCTTACTATCTACCACCTGCATTACATGTAAGAGTAATAAGCTCAAAAGATTATTTAAAAAAGACGCCCAGGTTAGAGCTAAGCTGTCCATGCTTGGTCTGTCTACACGAATCAAGGCACAAGGGATCTGATGGGTCATGCACACAGAACAGGTGAAAGACACGGTCAGTAAGGCTACAGGGGCCTGGCTGAAGGGTTCTGGAGATGTGAGGAACATGGGCCTGATTTTCTGTGTGATGGAAAGCGATAAGGAGGGATGGAGAGAGGTGCCCTTGGTGGCTCAGTGGTAAAGAATCTGCCTGCCAATTAAGGAGCCACAGGTTTGATCCCTGGTTCAGGAAGACCCCACATGCCCTGGAGCATCTAAGCCTGTGAGCCACAACTACTGAGCCTGTGCTCTAGAGCCCGGGAGCCACAACTGCTGAAGCTCTCGCACCCCAGAGCCCATGCTCAGCAACAGAAAAGCCACCCCAATGAGAAGCCCATGTGCCACAACCAGAGAGTAACTCCCACTAGCCGCAACTAAGACCCAGCACAGCCTGAAATAAATTTTTTTTTTTTTAAGAAGGAATGCAGAGGAGTCTGAGTCTAGAACTGAGGACAAAAGCTTTTGCAGAGAAGTAGGGGCTGAATGAGGGCAGGCTGAGTAGATAAAAGCTGGGAATAGCACCCTACAGGCATCCTGGGGATGGATGAGAGAACGAGGAAGAGGAAGAGGGGCAAGTGTGAAGTTGAGAATGAGAAAAAATGGGAGCCTGGCATCTGCCTGGCATGTGCAGTGCAGAGAACGGGGAAGGACTTTGGCTCTGGGATCAGGAGGTGCGTGACTGGCTGCCATTCCAGTGGAATGCTGAGATGGGGTGAAGGGAAGATGCAGAACCCTTAAAGTTTCCAGTGGGCAGTAAGTAGCACACACAGAGCCTTATTATTCTGAGAATTAGGGTCAGTCCTCTGGAACTCTCCCAGTTTCCTTCTTACCACACACGTGCGAGGTCATTACTAAACACAAGGCTTTGTTTCCCACTCTCTGAATCTTGTTAATGTTGTTGTTGTATGGTTGCTCAGTCGTGTCTGACTCTGCAACCCCATGGACTGTAGTCCGCCAGGTTCCTCTGTCCATGGGATTTCTGAGGCAACAATACTGAAGTGGGTTGCGATCTTCTTCTCCAGGGGATCTTTCAGATCGAGGGACTGAACTTGTGTCTACTGCTTGGCAGGCGGATTCTTGACTGCTGAGCCTCCTAGGAACCTCTCTCAGCCTCTACTGATTCTCTAATGGTATTCCAGGTGGTGAGCAGGGAGAGAAAAGAGATTTTTGCTGTTGTTGGGGATAGGAGGGTCCAGACCTACAAAATCCCAACCTGGAGATGAAAGAACCCTTTTAATGGATTTGCTGTGATGAAGGGAAGCTGTTCACTAGAGCAGATAATACAGCTCATGGTTGTCAATGGGTACAGACTGCCCCCTTCTACCCAGTTCAACCTGGACAAGAGGCCTTTGAGCAAGTTAGGAAGAACATTTTGCCAGCCCTTCTCAGATCTCTCTTTCTCTGGAAAACTGACATTAGAGCACTGAAGAATGCCTTTACAAAAAGGTCAGAATGAATACTGAATAAGGGAGAAAGAAAGAAGAGCGCAGACCAGGTGTATGCTAAGTGAATGGACACACACCTGCTCAGTCCTAACCATTCTTATCTACAGCAGCACAACAGAGTTTTCTACTTTAATATCTTTAGCAAGGTATGGGCTGCCCAAACTCCTGGCTGACCAGTGAGCACACCCGTCAGTAAGCCACCCAATTCCACTCTCAACAGGGAAAGCACTGGTGAAAGTCAAAGTTGTTCAGTTATATCTGACTCTTTGTGACCCCATGTACTATACAGACCATGGAATTCTCCAGGCCAGAATATTGGAGTGTGTAGCCTTTCCCTTCTCCAGGTGATCGTCCCAACCCAGGGATCAAACCCAAGTCTCCCACATTGCAGGCGGATTCTTTACCAGTTGAGCCACAAGGGAAGCCCAAGAATACTGGGGTGGGTAGCCTATCCCTTCTCCAGCGGATCTTCCCAACCCAGGAATCAAACTGGGGTCTCCTGCATTGCAGGTGGATGCTTTACCAACTGAGCTAAGGGAAGCCCCTACAATATCATTCTCAACAGGGAAAGCACAGATGAACAGGACTGCAAATTGAACAGTGTGATCTCCACTTCACACTGACCTAGATGAGTGGTTCTGGACAAGTTGTTTAGGATGACCCAAGCCTCAGTTTCCTGAGATTATTATCAAGAGCAATGCTAAATATACACTGTACTCTAACATCCAGTTCTCTGTACGATCAGGGAAATGGTTTGTTATGATGCCTTACTATGTCTCTGGCTCTGCCTCATGA